CAAGGTTCACTCCAAAGAGCTGTGACTTTACTCAACATTACAGTGAAGCTAAGTTGAGTTTTAGGTTTGTAGCACAACCCAAAACCAGACAAATTTTATGTGATTTCTGATTTTTTAGTGAAAGTTTCCTACAGCCCCAGAAATAAGTCCAAAATTAATAACTAGTTCCGAAATCACCAGGTTTGTTACTCTTAATCTCCCTAATAGTTCTCTAGGATATAATAGCCCATTTTATTAATGAATCTTAGACTTAGTGGAATATGTATTGTTTACAGATTTTGCTAGCTCATTTGTGCAGGAGACAACTATAATTCGGCAGCTTGTGCGATAACCCCCCGAATGCGTTATCAAGTTTTGAATCTGGAACCCTCAGATCCAAAGCTCCATTAGCTGACTGCGATAGTAGACTGTTGCCCTCTATGTGGACCAGTCACTAAAGGGAGATGCAACACACACTTTGTCTTACACCTACATCCTAAGAGCTCAAGGGGTAAAGTGGCAAGCAATGCCACTTTCCCTGATCACGCTGAAGGAGGCATTTTTCAATCGAGTGGGGTGCATGACTATGGCCACATCTCTTGTTTTCAGCTAGCATCAGGAATCAGTGCTGCAGAGCACTTGGGGGGGCTTTATGCCTGTTTCTGCACTCTGTAGGAGTAATGCCTCTGACTACCACTGCTAAGGCAGCCCATCAGCTTCTCCCCTCCCAGCACAATTCAGGTGCCTTGAGCCATATTGGAAAAACGTACTTGCTTCTTCTCCCAGTCTGCATCATATACAAGCTCTTATTCTGGGCATCAAAGGCCCATGCATCATGGCTACCATTAAAGCTGGTTGCAAAAACTTATGTGGAATCATTTTCTGTCAGAGAATGCAGTCCGTCAAAGTTGAAACAATGCAAAATCATGTCGCTTTTGCCAATGTTTCATTTTTGAGAAAAATGGATAAAAATGTTCTGACAGTGTCAAAATGTCTTGTTTTGATGTTTTCAGAACAAAATTTTTGAATGTTTGTTTTCAAACAACATTTTGTTTTGAATGTTTACAGCTTTGAATCACATACACCTCTACCTCGATATAACGCTGTCCTCAGGAGCCAAAAAATCTTACCGCGTTATAGGTGAAACCGCGTTCTATCGAGCTTGCTTCGATCCACCGGAGTGCGCAGCCCCACCCCCCGGAGCACTGCTTTACCGCGTTATATCCGAATTCATGTTATATCGGGTCGTGTTATATCGGGGTAGAGGTGTATTATAATATAAAAATTAAAAAGGGAGAATTGAAATGAAATACTGAGATTGAACTGAAATGCATTTTTTCTGGAATTTTCTGTTGTGGGGAATTGGAATGAAGACAGGTGTCAAAATCTCAAAATCTTTCACCAAATGGAATTGCAGTTCTCCACACAGCTCTAGCTGCCATTTTGCTCTGCTCTCATCTCCTTTCAAGCCCTTCTGCTCTAGCCAAGCTGAATAACTTCTCCCACTCTGATCGTTGTGGCTCCTTCTGGATGGGCCCCTAAAGTCAGAGCTGCTTCCTGACTAGTCTGCCATTCCGTCAGTCACCCCCTCCTGCTTCAGGTCTAACTGAAGAAACCACAATGTCTCGTTGTTAGAAACCACATCCTTCCTTTCTCTACCCCCTCCTAGCTCCAGGATTTGGCCCTAAATTTATACATGAGATGAAACATGTAATACCTGGTGCAATGTTTGCCACCATGATTTACTCCCACTGCCTTGGTAATAAGTGTTTTCAGGATCGAGCCCATAGATTCTAAACTCCTTAGGTCAGGGACATTGTCAGTGTCACGTACATTTATGGTGCAGTTACTCTTGTATAAATAATAAAAATCCTTTTACATACATACAGTCTGAGTCTGATTTACTGTTCTATTTGCTTATTTGTTTCCAACTTCCATATGGGAAGAAATATTCCATGTGGTTTACAACAGTGGTGATTATGCAGTACCCTTTGATTACTATCATTTATTTTTGTGTGTGTTTATAGAATAACATTGGCTGTCTAGCTCATGGCAAACGATGGGAGTTAAAGGAGAATGACTGCCGATATATCCAGAAGAGGTGTCTATACAAATGTTTAGGGATTGCATTCTGGAGCTCATAGGGGAGAGATTATTATGTGGTACCTTTTAGTTTTGTAGTCACCAGAGAGAAACGACATTGCAATGTGTGCAGGAGATTGGATCTGTTTTCTCTTTGATGCATGTTGGAACTCCTACTAATATTAATATGAGTCATGCCCCGCACTTCGCTGGGAAGAATAAACTGCGTTTTTGCATGATCTGGGATTGTCATTTTAGTCTGGGGCTGCAGTCAAGTTTCCTCTTGAGGGAAGGGTGGGGTCGGAGCTGAGTTAATTATTTTTTGCTTTGAAGTATATTGAATCTTTCCCCACCTTCCAGAGCTGTTACTTTTTTTCCACTGTCAAAAAAGCAGTTCATTGTGTATGTTTGCTTTCTTCTTCCCCTCACTCCTTTTGTTGTTTGTCTATGGGTATTCTTCGGATCATACAGTCTTTTCCCCACTTTACCATCCATACCTCGAAGCCTCTAACTTTCCAAGCCAAAGAGGAATGGAGAGGTGTTCTCTGTGGAGCCTCTCTAGTTTTATGCCTTTCACCAGCTGATGCAGTCTCTACAGCACAATTTGAGGCACTTCCCTCCCTTATGAGCTGAATGTGCTACTTTTTCAGTGTTCCCAGGTCCATTGCCAGAGGTATGATCAAGGCTTTTAGAAATGGATGCCTAAAGTTAGAGTCCTAAATTCATATTTATGGACCTAAATAAGTGGCCTGATTTTCAAAAGTCCTACCTCTGAAGTCAGTGGGAAGTCAATAATAGGGGAGGCTGAGTGCCCGTAGGAGAGATTTATGTTTGTTTGAATTTTTTTATTTTTATTTATTGTGTAGTTAGGCTTTCAGACATTTAGATCAAATTTAGAGGTGAGTCTAAGGGTTTGTCTACATGAGAAAGTTAGCGTGCAGCACACTAAGTTGTGAATTTTAAGTGCACTAGCTAATTCACACTAAGTCCCCTTGTGGACACTCTTGCTGTGCATTAAAGGGCTGTCTATACTTGAAGCTAGGGCTGTGATTCCCAGTTCATGAAGATACACTCACTCTAGCTCCAACTGGGAGAGTGCGCTAAAAATAGTAGTGTAGCCACAGTGGCATGGGCAATGGCAAGTGGTGGTGCTGGCTAGCCACCCTGAATAGAAACTTACCTATACCACCTGGGTACGTATTCAGAACAGCTAGCCTATGCCAACTCTACCCCTGCATGAGCTACTGGAACCACACTACTATTTTTAGCATGTTAGCTTGACGAGCACTAGTGCGGATATGTATACGAGGTCTGGGAATCATACCCCAGCTCCAAGTGTAGACATAGCCTAGGAGTGCTTTTGTATATTTTAGCTTAACACATTGACAAAGTTCATTAACTAAACTGCACAGTGGTACTCTTAGTGAGCAGCGAGAGTGTCCACATTGGAAGCTAGTAAGGAGTCGCTAGACTTACACTGGCTAATGCAGCCTTCTCCTTTCTGGACAAGCCCTAAATGACCCTCACGTCAGACTAGGTTGATATAACTGAAGTGCTGAGAGTCTGGAAGAAGACTTACATTGCACCAGGACTCACTCCTGACTTTGGCCCATTTGAGTTGTCACATAACAGTGGCACCTAGATTTTTAAATAATACATAATTGTTGTTGAAAAATTACTTAGCTCTAGCCAAATATAGTGCTTTTCATGGGCAAAGCGCTTTATGATATTATTAAATTTTTAACATCCAGCATTCTTTACAATGTTAGTTACGTTGTTGTGTTGTATACTGACATTGATATAGTGGTTCACAGTAGAAAAAGGTACTTCACACTGCCCCACAGAGATGTTGACCATATCTCTGAAACGAATGTCCATAATGTGCTTCCAAATGAAAGTGAGTTACATGTATTCCAACCATCCCTAGCTGGCTGTATGATTCCTTAGAGCTCATCTGTGAGGGTATATGTAGCAGCTCAGTGCTTTTATAGTTAGAAATACTGTTGCACACTGCTTACTTGCTTTCTACATCAGCTGTGGCATATGATATCAAACTAGTCTAACTAGTCTGCCCTGACCTAGGACATGCCAAAAGGAACCTATTGCTTGTGCTGATGCTGAAATAGTTTCAGATGTTAGTTCTGCTTTGATGTATGTTTTCATGAAAAATTTTAAACCCTGAAACGAACAGAATGAGATCATTTAATACAGGGACTGTATATTTCAGAAATGGTCAGATTATGACCATTTTCACCTTTTCTTGTTTTTTCCCTTTATGAATGAGGTGCTTAGATGTAAGCAGATTTAAAATGGACCTGGATGGTTGGACACTATTTCCTTAGATATGGGAGTATGGCTGCAAAGACTCAAACACTGCACTTTCTATATACTTTATACCAATATCAATGGAGCACCACTTAATTATGACAGCGGTGAATCTGGTGCATGTTGTATAAAAACTAGAGAAATCTGCAAGACTGCAGTTTTCAATGTGGTACATATTTATTAACAGGTTAGTTGCGAACTACAGCAGTTTGGAAATTTTCATTGACGAATATTTACAATGAAGCCAAAACTTTTCCAGACAGATGTGTTTCTAAAATATCTTGGCACTCTGTCCCATTAGATCTTCTGCACCAATTTGTTGTTGATGATGATTTTTGATGATTGATGATTTTTTTTGCATGTTCCCAAAAGTGCTAGGCCCTTCACAGAAACACTATGCTACTGTTCTTGGACATTAATGTGGTGTTTGAGCAAAAAGGATCTGAGTGTAGTTTGGAAAAACAGATTTATTGTGCAAGCCTTCTCCCCTAATGAACTGGCAGATGTTGATGGTTCTCTGTAACTTCATTGTACTTGGAAATTAAATCTTGCTAGGGTTTCAGTGAAACAGCAAATATTATCACTGTAATAATTTCTTGTTTTTTAATCAACAGAATTTAATATAAGTTGCAGATATGCAGGAGTTTTCCATGTTGAGAAAAATCGTCGCTACAGTCTCACACGAGATGAGGCAGTTGAACTCTGCAAAGCTCTCAATAGTACCCTGCCAACAATGGACCAGATGACGAAAGCTCACAGTTTAGGATTTGAAACTTGCAGGTAAGGAAATTATAAAGAAGATAATATATAGTGAATATGTATAGCTATCTGTCTGTCCATCCATGACGATGTGGTGTGCCAACTGCAATTACTTTTAAATAGCTATTAATTAGATGGTCACATCACCTTTGAGTAGAAAAGCATGACTGAATTGTAGTTGTAAATGAAGTATCATATTCAAGCAGGTGTATTTCTAGTGGGATCCTTCAGGGATTGGCTCTTGGCCCTACACTATTTAAATTTTTATCAATGCCCTGGAAGAAAATATAAAATCATTATTGATAAAATTTGCAGATGACACAAGGATTGGGGAAATAGTAAATAATGAAGTGGGCAAGTCATTGATTCAGAGTGATATGGATTACTTGGTAAGCTGGATGCAAGCAAACAATACGTATTTCAATAGAGCCAAATGTAAAGTCCTACATCTAGAAATAAAGAATTCAGGCCATACTTATAGGATGGGGAACTCTGTTCTGGGAAGCAGTGGATCATGATGGATAATCAGTTGAACATGATCTCCAAGTGTGGCACTGTGGCGAAAAGGGCTAATGTATTCCTTGGCTATATAAAGGGGTGAAATATTGAGTAATAGATAATATTACCTCTGTATTTGACACTGGTGTGACTGCTACTGGAATACTCCGTCCAGTTCTGGTGTGGACAATTCAAGAAGGATGTTGAAAAATTGGAGAGTGTTCAGTGAAAAATTGCATGAATGATTAAAGGATTGGAAAACACGCCTTATAGTGATAGACGCAAGGAACTCGATCTATTTATCTTATCATGAGAAGGTTAAGGGGTGACTTGATTACAGTCTATAACTACCTACATGGGGAACAAATATTTGATAATACAGGAATCTTCAGACTAGCAGACAAAGCTATAACAAGAGGAAATGGCTGGCTGTTGAATCTAGATGAATTCAGATGGGAAATAAGGTACAAGGTTTTAACACTGAAGGCAATTAACCATTGGGACAATCGGCCAACGGTTGTGGTGGATTTGCCATCATAGGAAATTTAAAAATCAGGATTGGATGCTTTTCTAAAAGATGTGCTCTAGTTCAAACAGGAATTAATTCAGGGAAGTCCTATGTATGGTCTGTGTTATGCAGGAGGACAGACTAGCTGAACACAGTTGTCCTTCCTGGCCATATAATCTATGACTCTATGAATTATGCAGGTTATCCCAAACAAGCAGCTGTAGAAAGGAGACAAGATTCAAGTGCAGCAAGTGCAGAGGGGGTTCAAGCAATATAGACTCATAGCAATAAAACCCTTATTTAAGTCAAATGGATCAACTAACTTCAGTGGGATTTCAACTTTAGTAGGAAGTGAGTAGGGATTTCAGGATTCATCCTGTAGGTTATTGGGGTAGAAAGCTCAGTGAGCATCTCTTCAACTCTTTGAATGTTGCCAGCTTGTACTTTTTATCAGCCCTCTAAAGACAGTCCTAATATTTACCAAAAGAAAAATTAAACTAAATGACCATGTTTAAAGTTATTACATGTGAAGGTGGAATTGTCTATTGTAAATTTGAATCAAGGCTGTTTTGTTTTTCTCAGTCCTTTAACTGTTTTAATTTTCTTCCCTTTGCATTAGTCTGCAAATTCATGAGAAATTGATAAAATTGCTTTCATGTTAGTGTAGTATTGACAAAATCATATCTATGGAAAGTGATTAGTTTAATTAGTATCAAAATAATTAAATTAGTTCATGTTTGTGCAGTGCTTTGAAAATGTTCAGTGTGATGCAATATTAATGTCACGCACTGCTACTATTAATTGCAAATGCATGGGTAGGCAATCTTTGAAGATCTCCTGCAGCCCTAGTTGCCCTTTCACCAGGACTGTGCCCTGTGCTCATTCATTGGTATAAATCAGAATAATATGTGTGCCTCTGCAGTGGGAGAATGATGCTAGCCATATTGCCAGGGAATATCAGGCAAAAATTCCCCATGGTGAGTGTTACATAACAGTCTCCCAAGTGAAGTGGAGGGATGATTTAAAATGCTGCCAAATGAAAGACTAGTCAGAGGGACAGTCCTGCAGTGGTGGGGAAAGTATTGAATGATCAAATAGGCGTTTTCTATCTCTAACTTTTGACTCTCATGCACTGGATAGAGTCTCTTATAGGTAAGATGAGAAGAAAATGGAAAAGAACTTAAAGTGTAAAAGAAATAGAGGGAACTATTTTTCACATTGGAGGAGAGATGTAGTTTTGCTTTCACTGCACTTTCCCCCCTTATCCATGAACCTAGAAGAGGACAGATATGGAATTTGAGCTATTTTTAAATAATTTGTTGGTGCTGTCTATTTGTATTCCACTGGCACAGTACCATAAATCCAACTCTGTGGGCCTGAGTCCGAGACAAAAGGAAGAACTAATACATTATACATAATAGTCAAAGCACACAAGGAGTAGAGAGTGAACATGAATGAGTCAGCAGGCCATAAAACAAGAAAGTTTTTTATTGTAACACTGCCAATATGGTAGTCTGAGTAATAGGATACAGGATCTAGGACTAATACAAAATATGGCTGTGCCAGTGAAGTAATCTATTGTTCCACCCATATTAGAGATTTAGAATTTCAAATATCATTGCCATGATTTGATCCAGGTGGATGTGAATCATGGATGTGGACTGTAACAGTGCTTGGGGAACCACAACTGAGACAGAGTCCAAGCAGTTAACATACCACTCCTGCCCCTCCCTGATAAGTAGCAGCTCTTAAAACAATCCCTAAACCCTAGGGCTCTTTAACATTTAATCACCACTCTCATCTAAATAGATTTCAGGACCTTCACAGGAATTAGTCATTTGATATGGGATTGCAAAATAGTAATAACTTGTTACATAATTTTGTTAACCACAAGCTCACTTGAAATTTCAGCCTGATTCATGGGCCCCATACTCAATGGCAGCATTATCTGCAACACATATTATCCAGGGGGATATTAAGTATTTTAGCTAACATTCTGTAGGTGAAATATTGCTACTTTTGAACACTTTATTAAAGTTTTGCACTTCGCAGAGACTGGCATGTTATAAATCATTGCTGCACATCTTTGCTCATGATCTCCATCCGTTCTTCAGATTTGTGGCATGCAATTCCAATGCAAAATGGTACTGAGCAATTTATTAGGCTAAAAGTAGTGGAAATGTAGCTCAATGAAAAAAATCAGAGCTTTGATCCTCTGTGTTTTATAATACACATCCCAATTGAACGAGAAGTGTTTACCCTTTTTATTCTTCATTTTCATTGCATCCCCATGCAGACCAGTTGTCTTCTCTAATAATTCACACTGCATTGCAATGGTTATTAGTTCAGAGATTACATGCAGAATGATATTGGAGGTGGTTGCTGGTGATGTTAATGTGGATGTGAAAAAGGAGTAATCTCCATGACCAGATTTGGGATTATTTTTATTCCATGATATGAAATGCTCTGTTTCCTATTGGCCTATTTGGTAGTATTGGAAGTCATGAGGAAAGAATCTGTTGTATGCTGTGATACATAACATGGTGTTTGTCAGCCACTGAACATGGGGGTCAGATCTGGTGGTTGACATATCAAGGGTCAAAGCCAGAGTCAGGAAACAAGCAGGGGAGCAGGGCCAGAGAAAGAAGGAACAAGCCTGGCTCAGGAGCGATTGCAGCTGTGGTCATAAGTGTTGAACAGTCACCGACCTTCTGGTGCAGCTGGGCTTAAGAACATGCCTCCTGGTTCCCCTCAGCCAGTCAGGCAGGTTGATCAATCAGCCAGTTCTGCTGTAGTTGTGTTCATTAGTCAGCCTGGAGACCGAGCTAGCTGGCTCAGCTGCACACCTTCATTCCTGACAGTATTGTTCACTCTCTGTTCTTCACAGGTATGGTTACATAGAAGACAAAATTGTAATTCCACGAATCAAGCCATATTCTCTTTGTGCAGCAAATAACACTGGAATTTACATACTCGTTTCAAACATAACAGACCGGTATGATACATATTGTTATAATGCATCAGGTAGGTATTTGCTGTACTGTGTAAGTGAGAATGAACATATTTAACAGTAACATATGTTCTCTCTCCTTTAGGTAGCTTGAACCAGAGCTTCCATATTAAATTGTATGTGCATTGTGGTCTTGTTTTTGCATTTGAAGATAGAACACATTTTGCCAGTCAGTGGAGTTGCACCTGCTGATACTATCAGTGACTTTGGCTCATTGTATTTTGAACTAAACAATTTTCTGAGTTCATATTTAACTTATGATTCTAAACCTCAAGAATTGTCATTTTAGTAGGGAAATGCCACAAGTATGGATCCAAAGGACACAGAATTGTTGAATGTGATGATTTCTACTCCTCACATTCTTTTACTCACATGTTTTTAGAGCTAATAACAGTGAAGTTTACAAGCGCTGAAAGATCAGGGACCCTGAAGACTCTTAGCTTGCTTCCTCCGCTTGCAGGAGGCCTCTGGGAAGCATAAATTCAGGTGTTGCTTAGCTACATTAGTATTGTAGGTTCAGAGGCAGGCCACTTCTTTTGTGGAGTTCTTCCATTTATGGACTTACATTTTTTAATAATAATTTTAAATGTTTCTGATTTTGTTTATTTTTCTGTGCCACATGAGGGCCAAAAGGGACCCCTGCAAAATTAAAATTTTCAGAATCAAATTGTCAGGGAGCTGTGGATAATTTTGCTCAATGTTTGTGCTGCAATAACTGGGCACAGGAAATGTGTGAAGAATAAGAGACTGGCTTGATTGAGTTGCCTAGATTTTGTTAAATTAATTGGTCATATTCAGAGCTGGTATAAATAGAGGCAACCCCACAAAAATCCTTAGGCCAAATTCAATGGTGATTTAAATAGTGGTGACATTTTGACAGAGAATATCTGAATCTTCATTCCACTCTCTGGAACTCAAGGGGCGTAATCCTGGGTTGGGGTAGAGAGAGGCAAAGGGCTCTGAGCTACCAGCTCTGATACTGGAGCTGTCGGAGAGAGTCAAACTGGACCATAGAGGAGCTCTAATTTATATTGATTGGAATGGTCCCTAAAGGACTGTTCTGCCAGCCAAGGATTAGCTTCTTCTACCCCCATAATGTCTGCTAAGTGCTCTACCCCAGAATGCCCTCAGTACAGAGGAATCATACAATCCCTGCCTTTGGGGGCAGCTGGAGTGGCAAAATGGGGACTTGTCCTGGGTTGAGGATCTGACTCAAATTGAGAACACTGAGAGTAATTTTGTGAAATTTAATTAAATTTAAATCCAAATTTAATCCAATTATGTGAAATTTGATTAAAATACACCAATTTTGTCCCTTTAAAATGTTTACAAAATTCTTAGTTTTCTCAAAGCCACTTTCAGACGAGACCCCCAAGAAACTTTTCTAACAAGTTGTTGATAACACTCTGAATCTAATAAATAGGGCAGAAAAGAGTGAATTTTTCTCACCACCTTTTGCCAAATTAACTAATTAATTTCTTCTGTCCCCACCTCCTTTCAGAAACCAGGGAAAAGGCATGTGAACCAATCACAAGACTAGATGTTTCTGGGCATGATAATAAAAGCCAAATAGGTAATGTATTGCGTAAGTGAATGATTTAGCATTGATTCCATTTTCAGCTACCAGGTTTCTCTTCTGTATATAAGTAATGCAAATGTTCAATATCATGCTAAACATAAGAGAAGCAAGTCCAGAGATAGTAATATACTGCAAATGAAGCAATCAGACCTCCATCTGCCACCCAGCATTATATGTGGCAGCATTTATCTTGAGGTGGTACTAGCGTAGTAAATTCTCCATATTGACACTAGATTGTTTTTAATAAATAGAGGACTGATATTTGCTTCTTTGATGAGAGAGCTTTGTTTAAGCCTCCTATGTTCTACGGTTATTATGTACCCTCCACATCATGCCAAAGCCTGCTAGCCTGGCGAGGAACTAGGGATGGAACTGGTCTCTCAGGATGAAATCCTGACCTCATTGGAGTCAATGGGAGTTTTATCATTGACTTCAATGGTACCAGGATTTCACCCTGAAAGTTAATCCAGACTTTACCAGACTGGGCCCATGATGGTGATGCATACACCAATTAGAACTGCCATAGATAGAACAGTGAAGGATAAAACAGATAGACAGAAAACAAATTGGTTGAGATCAGGTATGACTACAACTGTGGCCATAGCCCTTTAGCCTCGCCCCACAACTCCAACATTCACGATGTAAGCCTCAGATATTACAACTGATCTTTCTCCTTCCAACAGTCATAGATAATGAAGATGGCTCACGTTACACTGATGGTGTGAAACACACTGACCCAACTCCATTTACAGATGATAACCATGTGGGTAGTGGGTCAATACATGACGGAGATGCAACAAACCCCACCATCATCGGAACTCACACGCCTGGTACCCCATATTATGAAGAGAGAGCCCCAGATGCACTGTCAACAGATTATTCTTCTGGGTCTGGCAGAAAGGAAGATCATCCCACAAGTACCAGTAAGAATAATGGATTATATACTATTGTAGCTTAACGTGTCCTCTTAAAATAACTGGATGAAAACATTGCACTGTGATTCCATTCTTAGAATGCTAAGGGGCATCACTGATGGACACGGTGTGTCTTGGGGCATCAAAATCTGCAAAGGCTTTGTAACTAACCACTATAGTTATGGAAAAGAGAGAGCACAATCTCTGCCCCGTATTCCTGGGGCTCTTGAGAAAGAATTGGACGGGAAAAAGTTGTGTCTTTATGATCATAGAAAATTTTCACTTTCTAGAGACATTTCATAATAACATGACAGTGTAAAGCAATCACACATTAAAAAAAAATCTGTTTTTTTCCTACGGGAATAATTTCACAGTATGGTGTGATAATAGATGCTTCTAAGAGCCTGGTGTCGCACCTACTGAAATCAATGGGACTGTTATGGTTGATTTCACTGGGAGAAGGATCAGGCTCAGTGAAATCTAGCAAAACATTATTTCTATAACAAAGAAATATCACAGGTGCAAGGACAAGAGATGAACATAATGAAGGATTTTACCAGAAGAATCTGGGAAAGTAAGTGCAGAAACAGGTGTAGGAGGATAGGATTTCAGTACCTAGAGATGAAGCTGGAATAGTCTTACCTATTCTCCGGTATGATCATATTTGTGGAATCCATATTAAATAATACATGAATAAGAAGAGATTTACAATACAAATGCAGTTGAATCCCTTCTTGCAAACCTTAAGTTGTAAACTGTGTTTGATAAGCATATCACAATATGCAAAAAAGGTAAAAATGTTGGTGCTGTCAGCCTTCCATTTTGGTTCTTCTTTTTCCAGGAGATAGGGAAGGGCTTTTTATATAGACCAAGAACCAAGTTCTGCCCTGAGCTACATCCAGGAAGCCCTAGAGAAGACAAAATTGGGTCTGGGATAACCATGGAGTTGTATAGGTGTGACCTAGGGCAAAATTTGTATAGGTGAATAGAGGAGCATTAAATTGTTTCATTCTCTTGGTTTTCTTTTTCTTTTGACTTCAAGGCACATGTGGTAGAAGATTTTCTGATTTAATCTCTCTTTATGTCGATGGTTACGTACCTATTAGCTTTCATATGTGTAAGCACTTACATGGCCCACATCCTCAGAGTATGTGCGGGTCTCAGAAATATTAATAAATTTGCCCTCACAAATTGGGAAGTGCTGTATGAGCTCCATTTTAGAGAAGAGGAACTGAGATACAGAGAAACTAAGTGACTTGCCCAAGATCCCACAGGAAGTGTGGATTGAACCTAGGTTTCCTTAGTCCTGCTTCAGCAACTTAATCACAAGACCAGCCATCCTTCCTCTATAGCAGAGAGCATTCCTCTGGGCTATGGACACAAGCTTTTATTTAACTGTTCACTAATCATTTACAAGTAGAGGATACCAAGAGATAATGCCATTGTCCTACCCATCTATTAAAATGTTTAATTAATTGTTTTTTGAGTGAAAGTGTTGGCAGAGGATAAAGTTGATTTGCTGGTGGTACTGTACTTGTGGGACTTTGGGCCTGCTTCTCCACATGGCTTACCAGTGACATCAAACTAACATGGCAAGATAATGCCACTATTCTCTCCATGGGAATTGATGTTAGAACAACACCCTTCTCAAATTTCATGAATTGTCTTTCCACTGCTCTCTATGGAAATTCTCCTCTTTTCTGCTTACAATTGTAGTCTTTGCCTGGACCAAAGCTCATAATATGTAATGATAATGGCTACATTACAAATGGCCTCAAGCACTTCTGTGGGTTCCAGATCCAGAGCCACAGCTACAAGAACATAAATCCAGCCTTCGGTGAGCAAGTTGTTGTCTTTGCCACCTTAGCTGCCATGCTCATTATCATTGGGCTGCTGCAAATTGACACTCCTTTGAACAATCAGTGTTAGTGATTAGATACCAAGATTTGAAAATCAATGATATTTAATAATGAACTACACAAAGACCCTAGTCTCCTGTCCTTTTATCCTTCCACTGGACCAACAAATGAAAGACCTAGGCTTCCTATAGTGTGAAAGTGCTAACAATGAGAACAGCAGGAGTGGTGGCTCAGCAAATGAAAAGTTACAGTTGATTCACCCTTCGTCACACAGATGATATTGCAACACACTTCGATGACAAGCGGGGTGAAGATTCAACTATGATTTCACTGATAACTGATGGTGTTCCTGGAAAAGATCATCCTAGCAAAGGACAGCATCCCACAAGTACTAGTAAGGCTAATGAATTGTAATAACTTTGCCAAATGCAGACTGTATTTAACCTACTCTCTTATTCTGGCAGGATATTATGGTAAGTAGCCAGGTACTTATCTTCAGCATTGGAACAACATTTCAGAACACAGCTTTCTGAGGTAGTTAAATCAGAAATGAGATCTACAGTATGATGGCAATCACTGGTGATCAGAAGGGACAAGTGGAGACAAGGTTTGCCTTGTAAGCTACGTTTAAAGTTAAGAAGTGATTCGTGGACTCTTTGGTGCATATCTCTCATGTTCCATTTCGTCACACCTATTCACCCTATACCAAGCAACATAATTTAATTTGTTTTGGGCTGCAGGTATCTCTGTGCATCATCACTTGAAGACACTGTATATGAGAATTAGAAGTGCAATTTCTGCTCCTTTATGCAGAATATGTGTGCTTTGATACTCGGTTCATCAGTGTGTGGTTTTAACTCATTCATGGCTGTGAAGTAGGCAGCACAGATCAAAATCCTGACTTAACTCACTAAGGAGGTACTTTGAGGCAGTGACAGAGTTAAGGTTGGAGGTGTCATCCTGCTTGTGCACTGCATATAGAAATAGATTGTATTTCCAAGTGCTTGTTGTCATTTGCAGCATGACCACAGGGGTACTGTGCTTACCAGGCTTCTTGGGCTTTGGGATACTTGAAGAGACATTAGGTGGTGGCCTTTCCTCTAGTATTCAGTAGAACTCTAGCACTGTTTCCTGCCCTTCTCCTGAATAACTGTGCTAAGGTTTGTAAAAATCAATTCCCTGTGATATCTTCCTCCAGCATCCAGTGTACTTGTGCACCACGGGGTAGGATCTTATCAGTAGTGGGACAGCAACATTAAGTAAAATCAACTTAATTTTTTGTGTTAAGAAAGTTAGGAACCATTAGGAAAGGGATAGATAATAAGACAATAAATGCCATAATGCCACTATATAAAGCCATGGTATGCCCACACCTTGAATACTACATGCAGTTTTGGTTTCCTCTTCTCAAAAAAGATATATTAGAATGGGAAAAGGCACAGAGAAGGGTAACAAAAATGATTAGAGGTATGGAACAGCTTCCATATGAGGAGAGATTAAAAAGACTGGGACTGTTCAGCTTGGAAAAGAGATGACTAAAGGGGATATGACAGAGGTCTATAAAATCATAAATGGTGTGGAGAAAGTGAATAGGGAAGTGTTATTTACCCCAAGAACCCAATGAAATTAAAGGCAACCGGTTTAAAACCAACATAAGGAAGTACTACTTCACACAATGCATTGTCAAACCTGTGTACAGTGACCAGACGTCCCGATAAAATTGGGACTGTCCTGATATTTAACTCTTTGTCCTACATCCCGACCAATGTATGATCGGGACGCCATTTGGCCCGATATTGTAGGGTTGCCAGGCATCCGGTTGGTGCGGGGGTGGGGTGGCTTGGGGTTCCAGCCATGGAGGAGGCGGGGGAGCTCAGGGCTCCTGCCGCAGGAGGTGGGACCTTGTGTAGGCAGGGGCGGGACCACAGGGCTAGCCTCCGTGAAGTGGGGGGGAGTCCACCCACCGCCTATGCCCCCCCCATGTGTCCCGATATTTTATTCTTGTGATCTGGTCACCCTACATCTCTGGAACTCATTGCCAGGAGATTCTGCGAATACCAGAAGTATATCTGGGTTCAGAAAAGAATAAATTCATGGAGGAAAAGTCCATCAGTGGCTATTAGCCAAGATGGTCAGGGATGCAACCCCATGCTCTAGGTGTTCATAAATGTCTGACTGCCAGATGCAGAGACTGGATGACAGGGGATGGATCATTCGATAATTGCCCTGTGCTGTTAATTCCCTCCGAAGCATCTGATATTGGCCACTGTCAGAAGACAGGATGCTGGGCTTAATGGACCACTGGTCTGACCCAGTGTGGCCATTTGTATGGTCTTATGTGTGCTTGGAAGGATATAGATGTTTCTGGAAGGAGAAACGAATGTGGTGTAGGAGTTTCTTGTTGAAATTCCTTAAGACTTTTTCCACTTGGCTCAACCAGAACACCATGTCCAGTTCTGGGAGAACACTTTATCCAGTTTTATGGAATAGAAGAAATCAGTTCAACTCTGGACTCATCACTAAGGTTTCTTTATTCACATACAGTCAAACTACACTTGAGTTGATCAAGCTCGAGAGTAGATATGGGTACAGAGTATACCACAAACCCAAGATACATAATCATGAATTAGCTTATCAACATACTTATACTGAATACTATTTGTCAATACATTGTATCGTATATTTTATGATTGATACACTAATTTTTATAATTGATCCCGGTACAGATCATGAATTGTCCAAGAGCTGCAAAGTATGCTAGTAAGCAAAGCTGCAGCTACAAGCTTATCACATGTTACTCTTCTTACAATTTCTTTATCTACTAACTATATATTATTGACAAGGCCACTTGTGAGTTTATGCTTTGTCCATTGTTAACCTCTGTTTCCTTACCTCTCTTTCTTCATTCCTTCTTGCATTGTTCATGCAAGGCTGACATTTCTAATGCTTTTTGTGGTAAACATTGGACTGGTGGAGAAAGAAAATAATAGAATGATTTCTTTCTACCGTCTCTTGCTTCACATTGATGCCAATGAAACGTAAAGTTAAGCATATGCTTAAGAGGTTTGCTGGACGGGAATAAATGGATGAAGGAGGCCCTGATTGCCATAGGTGTGGCAGATATTTCCCCAATCACTCAGGTAATATAGCAGTGTTAGAAGAATAAGATTCCTTATAGTGGCATTAAAAGCTTTATGAAGAGGGGGAGGCTCCTTGTGTAAACAAATGTGCCCTTCTGCCTGAGAAAATGTGAAAGAGGTTCACACCTTATGGACATCCTCAGATGGAGACATAAAAGATCAATAATATTCAAAATAAGAAACATGACAGTTAATTTTCTAGTTGTAGGTTTGGATGTGGAGCAAGACTTTCTCTACAGCATGGCTTCTGGAAACCTTAGTCTTGCTAGAGCCTAGTAGGGAGAAAAACAGTTCCAAAATGGCGCAAAATCTTGCCTTGTTTTGTAATTTTGTTGTCTGGTTGTTTTTACTGGGATTTTTTTTCTTCTTGATTTCCTCTTTCTTTGCATGAATAGTTTTGTGCTGTTGCAAAATCTGTCTATAATCTTGGACAGGGGCTTCATGATGGACGTTTGGTTTTCTTTTCCTTAATTGTTTATGAAATGCATTGACACTCGAGGCTGATGTCTTGCTCGTGTTCTCACACTCCTCCTTCACTGGCATGACAAAGTTTTGGGGTGAAAGTTAGAGCGGAGTGAAGTTTCAATGAAAAAAATGATTTAAAAAAAATCAATAAGTTTGTGCACATGTATGTGAAAATATGTTGCTATTTCTTGATCAGCTGTAGTGTGAAAATATTGGCAGGATTGCCTAGAAATATAAGGTGATGCAGTAACTCTCCAGGTAAATCTGCTGTGGGTATGTCACTTGTGGATTTTCCTGACAGGAACTATCATCCATTGTTCAACATCATCTTCTTTAACTCAGAGCAAGGCATTGTGTGAATTATACCGACAGGGATTTCATTTTACTGCATCACAAACTAGCAAAACCAATTTCAAAATAAATTGTTACTTTTATGCTATCTATCTCCCTGAATGATTTTCTCCCAGATAATTCTGTGACATGGGAAAAATGACAGTTACAGAAGAGAAATCTAAGGATTAGCTCCCATTATGTAGTAATCAGATCATGCAGACACTCAGGCTTATTCCGTAACCATGATTTAGGGTCCCAGGGCAGGATCTCACTGATTGGTAAGTAAATCACACTGTTTAGGGTAAACAAAATGGGATCAGATTTATTCTCATTAGGAGTTTAGCCCCAGAGAGAGCCAAAATATAGTTCTTAGGTAGGATGGAAAAATCGTAGCCTAGATATCACAGTAGCTGTATAGATACATGAGAAAGAGAGACAAGAACATCAAAGGGCTAGCCAATAATTCTGCATCAGTTTAACTAATCTGAAGGCTCAAACCCATACAGTTATATATGGGTAACAAGTTACACTCTAGCTCTTCCAAGTGGATCTTTACAATGCATTTGAAATGGCAAGTTGCTGCTGCTACTTGGCCTGCCATTATTGCTGCTATTTCCTCGTCTGTTGCTGCAGCTGCATTGCACATTATCACTGGGATGTCCTCCATCAGTTTCACAACCCTGACCTCAGGATGTCGTGAATGAATGGATGAGGGAAAAAACAGTGATAGTGTTGAATAGAATAGAGGGACCTGTCTACTGTCTTCTTTCTTTACCCTTTACACAAGAGAAAGAAAATGGTCTGGTGTAAGAGGAGCAAAGAGGTGAACATATTGTGAGTAGTGGCTCATTAAATAAAATGTTGATAATTCATCCAGCCATCATCACAGCAGACGAGGACTCCCTACGTGGGGCACATCATGAAAACTCTACTCAAAGTCAACAAATTCCTGGATTTATTCCTTTGCAGCAGCACTCCACAGATCACAAAGAAGAGCATCCCACCACTGTTATGAAGGGTAATACATTATAATAATTTTATCTAATGTACTTCCTATAAGATCTGTTAAGTAACCGGTGGAAAGGAACCTGACAGACAACCAGCTTTTCTCTTGCTCGGTGAGTTTACCATCTATTCCCAGGTTTTATTTCCCATTGACCAGACTCTGAAAGCAACAAGCATCCACAGCACTCTACTGAAAACATTCTCCCCCCTCCCACCACCCCATTTTCTCTCTCCAAGCCTAACTACGCCTTTTGCTGGATCCTTTAGGGAAGTCATACTCTCCCTGTGGATATGCCAGGGTATCAGGATAGCCAGGCTCTGCAGGTTCCGTGCCATCACTGATCTCCGAGTTAGAGAATCCAGTGATTGCTGCTTCTGATTTTTTGCTTCCACTTTAAGTAGACCATTTTGTGTTCCTGTAGCTTCTTCCTTCTTCTTTGTTCACAATATT